GTGCAACAGCCTGGCTCATATTCATTTCAACAAGGTAATGGAATGAATTTTCCTCAGGAAATGGGCCTGAAAGTTTCTATGAAGTTGTAGGACTTGTAGACAGGAAAACAATAGGTTTTTCTCTCTATATACTACTCATGAAGAAAAATTTTATAAAACAAAGCTATGTAGGGTGTCATCTTTTATAATGGCTAAAACCTTAAAACACACACACACACACAAATATACAATAATAAGGGAATGATTAATAAAAGATGACACATTTTCATATGATGAACTATTCTGAAATTGTTAAATTTTATATATGAATAGTTTCATTAACATGAAAAATTTATTTTATGTTAAATGACTAAGGATATAAGTCTATAAGACTCTATTGATCTGACCACAACTATACAAAAGGTTGTAAAACACATAGAAATATTACAATACAAGGAGCAGATATATTTTGGATGGTAAAATACATTTTTCGTCTCCTTTTTGTATTTTTAAATTTTTATATAATGAGCGGGGATTTTATATTTTGAAAATAACCACAATTTTACTTGAAATAGAGATGAAAAATTTCTCATGTGTACTAGCATTTATATTGGGGATAGGTTTCGCAATTAGGAAACCAGAAGCACAAGAGGAATTACAGGCGTAGTAGCTATTCACGAGCAGAGACTTTAATGGACAAATTGTGCTTTAGCCAAGTAAGTGGAGTTTTCATTTATTTTGAGGGACTTGGAACAGTTCAGACACATGACACTGAGGAGCCTTTCTTAATTTTCTCTGTAAGTCGTGCCGGGCACATTGGCACCTTGCTTAAGAAACTGAGGTGTGTTCACTGTGAAGTGGCCTACAGTCGAGTTTTAATAAAGCTAGAAAACGATGCTTTTGTTCATTAACTCAACAGGGATCACATTTGGCCTAAAACTTCAATAAAACTAAGAAATAAATGAGACTGTGAAATAAAACCACATGGATACTAGAAGGTCGATGATGTGGTACTAAACAAAGTGGGGTTTCTTTTAACTGCACCTGTTCTAAGAAAAGTTAGAATTGATGATTCTCAGGGTGTGAGAAACCCATAGTCATTTCGGGAAACTCTGTCCATCTGGATTCGTGCTGTAACCGTCCTCGCTATTTTAATTAAAAAATCTTATGTTGATTTGTTGTTTACTTATTATAACTAGCAATTATATCTCAGATTTAATTTTTTACATTTTAATTTCAACGCTGTGAACATATTGCCTCCTGCCTTTCCTCTCTGCCTTCCAGAAGGCCTCCCGCTGGTCGCAGGCCCTGGGCTTCCTTGCACAGTACCAATGAATTGTATTAAAGAGGCAAAAAAATTATCAAATTAATTATCAAAACATAAACTAATTTGGCAAAGGAGTAGAGCTCACAATTTTAAAACCCTAACTTAGAATGTTTATTAAATTACAAATTCACTTCCATGAGCATTTTCTAATCACCTGCCATGTCCATGCTCGCTATGATGCAAGAGTTCAAAGAATTACGTGTGGGTCCCGCTCTTAAGGAGCTTACAACATTGTTGCAGAAATGAACATATAAGCCACTATAAGAGGTAAAGAATTATGAGGACAATATGAGAAAAATTTGCTAATCAAGCAAAAAAGAAAGAAAGTTTAGCTCGTTATTTGCAGCATCAACAGCTTAGAGAATTTCAGGCTGAGGAGGGATTTTTTTTTTCCCTACAAAATCATCATGGGTTTAGGAAAGTGTCCTCAGGGACAGTGAAGAGTCCAAGAGTCCAAGGCGTGCCTGCAGCCTAAGTGTGTGAGGAGGAAGAAAACAAGCTGTAAGCAGATCATCGAAAGCCCCAGACGCCAGGCCGGGGACTGAGCATTACTTTGCAGACGAAGGGAAGTCGCCGGAGCATGGAGGCAGCAGAGTGTGGCGTGAATAGTCTGGGCTCTCACCAGACAAAGCTTGTGACAACGAGAATGATGGGTTTAAAGGGCGAGAAACTATAAACAAAGAGACAGCTCAGAGGCAATAATCCACATGGGAAAAGAAAAGGAAATAAACCAAGGCAATGGCAACAGAAACAAAAGAAGGGCCATAGAGCCGATACGGTAATAACCGCTGAACGTGGATGGCCTGATTCCTCTGTGTCCATCACATTTACCTCATCAAATGTTCCTAGCAGCCCTGTCAAGTATGTCCGGTTTACTTTGCCTGTTTCACAGATGAGGAAACGGAAGAGGAGAGAAGTTGGGTAGCTTGCTGAAGATCACAGAGCTAGTCGTTGTAGACCTGGGGCTAAACCCAGGTCCACCCCATTCCAGAGCATGGCAAATCTCTCAGGTAAACAGCCTCCCACTTGCCTATATGACCATACTACTTTCTGGCCTGAGTGGCTTGAGGAATGAGGATCTGATTTCCTTTCTAGGAAAGGAATATAGGAAAGAAAGCAGGTTCTGGGCAAAAAAAAAAAAAAAATTACTGTAGAATATATTTACTTTGAATATTGAAAATATATGTATATGTATAAGAAGTTGGAAGTTTAGTTTAGGGCCACAATACAGCCCACTGATCTACTTTCATGGAGACTGTTGTAGAAACCATGGCAAAAAGTCTGACTAGCTGCCGACAGGTCTGGGGACAGATGCCTAAGGAATTATTTTGTTCAAGGGATGCACAAAGGATGATGTCCCTGAGCATGCATGATGGAGGAAGCCACGGGAGAAGAGAGTTTTGAAAAAAAGATTCTGGGAAAATTTTTTTTCCCAAAAACCATAGTTTCAAATATCAAAGAGAGCTCACATTGGAGGAGAGCTGAGAAACGCGTGTAGGGTTTGGCATCCAGGAATCATGGCTGCTGTTTAGGAAGGGTGGTGCAGGAAGGCGGGCTGCTCGGAATCCGGATGGCTGTGACGTGGCACACCTCTGTGGGCAGGTGAAGGGGAACAGCAGATTTCTTGGACAAAATTGATTCTTTCCTGGCGAATGTGTTTATGTCTTCCGCAGATTCCACAGTGGAAATATTATAGTGTCACAAAGCAAGAGCTGCACCTTCACGAGAATCCTCAACATCGTCCTAGGGTGAGAGACGCTCGGCTCTCTGGTCTAAGAGCCTCTCCACCACATCGTTTCTTCCCAAGCCTGATGTTTTCATCCCAAGGAGCACATTCAATTAGCGTCACCTACTCCTAGCTTGTTTCTGCCCCTTTAGTAAATCCAACACAGCCTGAGCGAAGTGTCCTATCTAGCTGGGAAGTCTGGGAAGATAACCCGGGCATGCTCAGCTCGGCTGCTCTCCACCGACCTCGCGGGGCCGGGCAGAGAGGGCTCGGTCACACCTGCTTCTCCCACGTGCATCTCCCGTCATTACGGGGCCTGCAGTTTTGAGGGACAACCTTAAAGACCCCAACAATTGGTGCATTTGGCTGGAAACACTGAGACATGCAATGCAAAGAGCAAAGCTGAAAAAAAAAAAAAGAAATCGAATGCATGGTGAGACTTATAATTGGGAGTGAGACATACAGGTTGGAGTCTTCACTGTGTTTCGCAGAGGACTATTTCGAAGTTTGCAATGGCTTATATTGAACTAGCTTTTAAATGTCGTGGCAAGGGCCAGCAGCTTTAAGATTTAGGCCATGCGCTATTATAATCTGGTCTGCAAATACAGATTATACGTGTATTTCTCTATGGGAAGGCGACTTTCTATGGAAGTCAGTCTGGAAGGTCCTTGACAAAATGCTGGAGGCAGTGAGCGGCTTCAGCAGGCACAGGCAGCTCAGAGCTTGTTGCTTCTTGACCCTGAAATACACTTGCATATGTTACGTGGACAGCTAAGACCGAGACAGATGTTGCTGGCTGCGGAGGTCTTAGTGGTCAAGGGCACTTGAGGCAAGAATTAAGTTGTAAAGGGGACCGGAGTTTCTCTGCAAATTTATAGACCTTGATACAGTTGCATTTAAACTACAAGGGCTCTGAGCTTCACGTGGGCTGCAGAGCACTTCTGACATTCTGTCTTTAAATCGTTAGCGCCAGGCTTTGGTAGGCAGCAATAGATCAAAAGTTAACTGCGCCAAGTCATTCTCTGTACTCAGGGCCAAGGAAAGGGTTGTGAATTTATGAAGCTTTGTTCACAGACTCAAGTGGAAACCGCTCAAAGAAATACTGAATGTGTTTCAAGGCGATGTAGTTATTGAGAGGGGGCGGGGGGAGTCGTTGGCTTCCTTTATTGTGAGGGAAACTGACTGAGAAACTTCTGGAAGCCACAAGCAAGGGAAAGACAGTGTCCTGAGGAAAACATGGAGGAGACTGGGCCTCGCCGTAGCCCAAGGGGCACTGACCTTGGAAGCATCCACACTAGTTTCATCTTAGGAATATGTTGAAAATGCTTTCCTGGTTGAAATAAATAGGAGGATGAGATTAAAAACCATCATTTAAAAGCAGATTTCTGAGGCCCAAGCAATCATATAACAAAAGGCAGTGGTATTAGCCACTGTGGCACAGGATTGAAAATGTCTTTCTACAAGATACATGGCAGCTGGATGACCAAACAGGGCTCATCGTCTATACAGCACTGAAGCCCCAAGAACACAGAGCTCGAAGAGGAAATGGAAATGGAAATGAAGAACCTAAATGGAAGCAGATTCTTCTCCCAGAGATGGCAGGCGAACTGTACTAAAAATTCTGCTAAAGATTTCCCTCTGTCAAATTTAAGTCCATAAATCATAGATTCTACCTAATTTGTATTGGCCGACCAGTGGCATCCTGGTGAAAATAAAAATTAAGATTTTTTTTTCATCACTGTTTTTGAAAGCCAGTCCCCAAGATGGCTGCAACGATCCTTGCCCCTTGGTGTTTCAACCCGGTGCAGGACTGTCCACCGAGGGGGTAGCTGGACTTAGTGACTCATTCATAGCAAATAGAACACGGTAGAAGCCACGGTGTGTGACTCAGAATCCGGGACAGGAAAGACAGAGTGACGTCGCTGTCTGGCTTGCTCCCTGAGATGGCTGCTCTGAGGGAAGCCAACGGCCACGCCATGGTGAGCAAGCTTGGGGACGAGTCTTCCAGCCTTGGGATGACAGAGCTCCGGACGACAGCTGGACGGCAACCTCCTGGGAGACCCTGAGCCAGAACCAGCCAGAAAATAGCGCTCCTGTATTCCTAAAACCAGAAAACGTGAGATAATATATGTTTGTTGTGTTAAGCTGTTAAGTTGAGGGGTGGTTTGGCACACAGTAATAGATATTTAACAATTAATATACCTTTTTCTTTCACTGAGAAATAGCTACTAAGCTTTTACTATAGTTTCTACTGTTATTAAATAATTGCTGCAGGAATCTTTACCTGGGAAAATTGTCCTAGGATCTGAGAATTTCCCTTTTTCTAAAAGGCGATATATGGGGGGGGGGGTCAGTGTGGTTATAATCTTGAGTGTCTCATTAACTTTCTGGATTCTAAAAAGGGAGACATATCAGCTACCTCATGTTAAAATAATTCAAGGTATGAATGAGGTCCTCAAGAAATAACACCCATTCTCGTGTATCCAGATAATTAAGAAAACCTCCAATATAAACTGAGCAGAAGAAAGAAGTGGGAATTCCCTGAACTTCTAACTTTTAACTTACATTGTCAAAAACACAAATCTTAAGCATTAATTCCGTTAAACCTTGATGGGCATACCCTTTCGTTTTTCCTGTGAACTTGACAGTAGAAGAAGGCTTCTATTGCAATTTTGTGGCATTTTATTAATAGTATTGTTGTGTTTATATATTTATTACGTTTCTTAATAATTTCATTAAGTGTCATTGCAGGATCAGGGATATGCTGTGCTGGAAAGCATGCTTGGACGTAATTTGAGATGGGAAAGAGAGTACAGGGAGTCAGCTCTGAACCTTAAATACAGTGGTCCTGGGTGGGAATAGAAGGCTCATTTCAGAGCTTTCTCAGGGCAAAACGTGCCTTTCCCACAAGTGGTTCCAAGAGGAGCCACTAAAAAAGCAGTGATTTGTCTTTGGAGGGGGGGAGGGCAAGAGACAGCACTGTGAGTGTGGGAGCCAGCCTGTGCTAGATTGCTCACCTCCCAGAGGCTTAGAAGCTAAGCCCAGCGGGGCACAAGAGAATGTTCCAGGGGAATGCTAAAATTGTCTTTCTCTGAGGCAGTTCTACCGCTGTAAAACCTACCCCTTCTCTCCCGCTTTGCTCTTGGAGGTGGAGTGATTTATCTGATGGACAAATTTCAAAAGGAAGAACTGAGTACTGTTTTCCTTGTGAGAGCTGTTGGCTCCTGGGTAGAGATTTTCACGATTGCTCCTGGGGGCTGGCTGTCCCCAACACCAGCGGCCCATAATGCCATGACTGCATGGGTAAGTTTGCCTAATTCTGTGGTTTACTTACCCAACTCATTTGGCTCTTACAATTTAGCCTTTATCAGTTAAAAACAACAACAACAGCAACAACAATATTTTGATCTTCCATATATCCTACTTACTCTTCATCTTATTTTTCAATGTGTGTAGAACCTGAACAAGAAGAAGGGTATTATATCTCCTCAGGGAAACCAACACTTCTATCAAAATTCAAATAGCTGAAAATATTTAGCCTGGAGAGTCCAAAGGGAATGAGACAAAATTTCCTTTTAATTGTATGCTTTTATCATGATCAATTTGGTAAGTGATTCAAGTGTCGATAAGATGCCCCCTTGAGACATATATTTTCCTTGTTTATGTAATAACACGAGAAGAGGTATGATTATTAATGATTAATTAAGGTATGATTAAAAGGTATGGTTATTAATCAACAACTATATCTAGCCTGGGCTCAAAGAATGGAGTTTTGGAGCCAGACAGATATGGCTTCTAATGCCAGGTCTGGCAAATTCCTTAACCTCATGGAGGGCTGTTTCTTCATCTGTTTCTTCAGCTTCCTCTGTATAATGAGGAGGGAACATATGATGCATGCAAAGTCAAGTACAGTGTTTGACATCAGGGAGCCCTGTTACATGGGAGCTGTTATTATATCCTACACTCTATTTTGCTTTACCATATAGTAATTCATTAGGTGCAAAATCTCACGCTAGATTTCACCCGGAAGATTTTTTACATCATAAAGGAATTTCCTTAAGATATTTTTATTCCCATGAACAATTTTTCTGTCAAGCTTACAGTTAGTGAGTAGGTTACTTTAGGCAAGTGGCAGGTCACCTTCTCTCCTACTTTAAATTCGTGACGTGCCATTTTGAAGGTAATTCAAACATTTTGTCAGCTTTCACCTCCTTAATTTGTATGAATTTTGGATCTAGGGGCAAAGTGAGGTCAAGGAATAAAAGTCCCTGTGGACAGTGCTGCAGCAAATCTTTTAATACTCTTAATATTAGATTTGCTTGCAGAATGTCCACGGTACAATTTCATAAATTCTAGTTTTGTTGCCTTAGAAAAAAAAGTTTCTTATATCAGCCCTTACGGAATTTTTTTGGATACTCTTTCTTGGTTAAATTATCCCATTAACTGAGCTGTCCACAGCTGAGAGACCCAGTTTAGAAAATAGAACTTTAATAACTTCAAGTGTCTAAAATTGATCTATCTCTCTCCCAGCACTTAGATCTACCGCCGCCAAGCTATAAAAGAATCCTTCCCCCATATCTCGTGCCCAAGGGGACTCTTTTAGGCTCAACTTTCCAAACTGGTTCACAGACACTCTGTAAGGAACTTTGCTCGGGTTCCTGTGTTCGCACTGATTTTATAGACTTAAATTTTCAGATAGTTCTTAGCTTCCAGCCTACTCTTCTTCTGTCAGATCTCCGTGTCCCTTTGTTCTGGGCCCCAAATCCTCAGGCAACACAAATCCCTCCCAAGACTAGTTCCAGAGTTAGTTCTCCAGGGCCACACTCGATGTGGACGGAGAATTGCAGGTAGAAACCACATAAGCAGTTACTTCACGGAAGAAAGTTGTATTTCTAGCAACATAATTTCAATATAATGCCATTAAAAATGACAATAGTATTCAAACCTAGACTCCATTTTAATGGAGTAGTTTGTGTTTGTATGTTCTTTTAATTTCCAAAACTATTATTACGTGGAATATAACAATAATTAAATTTACAACATAAGGAAATGAAAATTCCCCTTAAGCAAGAAAATCAAACAAAAGGTTAAATATTAAACAGCATTGTTAAAAGAAAACATATCTTAGTACTATAATCTTAATCCGTTTCTTAAACTCTTTTCCCTATAACATATAACAGATTTAATAGTTCCCTAGGAAAGTTAACAAAATCTTTTCAAACACTGAAAACAACTCATTGTCAGAGATGAATGTACTCATTGGTGAGAACTGGCTATGCAATTATGTCTAATGTTTAAACGATGCATTTATATACAGAGCTGGGAATAGTGCTTTAAACTGCTTTAAACCAAACTGCTTTAAATCAATTTAAACTTTGGTTTAAATTTCATTTATAGCTAGAATAAGATATAGTCATGAATACTAATATTAATACCACAGATATGCCAATCTTCCAAGCTCTGTTTTTTGTTTGTTTGTTCGTTTGTTTTTAGACATACCTGGTGATCCAAACAATAGGAATAATAGATTGTTTGTAGAGGGTGCTTAATAAGAGTGAGAGAGAGTCCTAGGCCCAGTCTCACCCTTCTATTTACTAACAAGCAGACTGTAACTTCTCAGTTTTCTCATTACTAAAAGAGAATTAAAAATAATTTCTACCTCACTGAGTTGCTACAAAAATAAAACGAGAAAATGTCTAGTGTAACTAGCACAGTAGCTGGACTATAGTAGATGCTCAGTAAACATTAGCTGTTATCAGAGAAAGGGAATGAATACTTATTTAGTAGGTTTCTGATGTAAACACTGAACAAGAGGTTTTGTAAACTGTCTAATTTAGTTGTGTTTTGGCTGTATTAAAACAGTTTAATATCCATTGAACACAGTTATCTACACTATTCTACAAGCTCAAACATATAGATGGAATTCTTCCTGATGTTTCATTTACTCTTACATTTCTTGTGCTACACAGCATGTTTTTAATCTCAGATGGATTTTCATTCCTCAATCACCTTAAAATATTTGCTGAAAGTAGTATTAAAAGAAACTAATGTAGCAACACTAACATGCTTTAGATCCAGATTTTCATTCCACACAGCATGGGAACAATTTTTCTGATCAGGCAGTATTCAACCTAAGGTAAATTTGGAAGCAAATCGATTTATTTTGGAGCTCTCTTAACAGTTTTCTTGATAACAAATTAAGTCTGTGTTCAACTTTTAAATTCAATCAGAGACACTTCATTTTTCCACTAGTACTTCAATTTTTAAAAATTTTTTACTGTTTTTACTGCACAAGATTTTAGGTTTCACAGGAAAAAACGATATTTTTTGCTTCCATTTCAACCAACTACTCTTTCTTCCCTATGGATTAGACATCTCATTGTAATTTCAGTATTTCACTTATCTTCATACAGAAGTCCTTGAACGTCATAAAAGGAGTACGTATTTTCCTTTTGTATTTGTTTGTATTTTCCTTTTATGTATTTTCCTTTTAATTATAAATATGGAAAACGCATCACTCTGGTCACTGCTCCCAGAGGATTTATTTATTAGTCTTTTCTCTCAATTCCAGATAAATAAGAATTACTTTGTGAAGTATTGTTACTGTTGTTTTAATCTTCTACCACTGTAGACACGGATCCTTTCCTCTTAGATTCCCTCCTTATGTTCTTCTTCAGTCTCCTAGTGGACAACACTTGGTATTGCTTTATATTTCTGGAGTACTTTATTTAGATCTTTGATCATGCTCCTAATACATATGATCTAGTGTTATACTTGGTTAGATTCAAGTTTACTTGCTCATCAGATTATAATCCTCTTAAGCGTATGAGCATTTTTAGAATTATTTTTAAATTTCTCATAGGTTCAAGCAAATAGTTCAGGCATAATAGGTGCTTATTTAACACATTAACTGCCATGTGAGTTGTATTTAACTCACGTTAGTTTTAAGTTCGTGAAGCATATGTAACTCACACGTCTCTTCACCTTGGGAGCCACAAGAACTATTTTTCAAGTTGCATATAACTCATGCACAGAAAACAATAAAAAACAACAAATTTTTCTTCACCTTAGAAAGGATCATTTGTTTTCAAAGTTTTTATTCTGTTTTCATAATAAAACACCATGGCCCTGAAAAAAAAAATTTTTTTTTCTAGTGTGGCAGTCAATGTGTTCATGTTCATTGGATTGCATAACATCTGTGAGATGGATATCAGTGGTCCAGCTGCTTATATTTCTTGGCCACATACTGTGTGTCGACCACTCTGCCACATGTCAGTGTTGATCCAACAGTGGAGTTATAGGAGTAAGAAAAACAAGCGTGATTATTGACTGACTTCACAGAGGTGGATGGGCTTCTACTCCATGCTGTCTTCTATCTAAAATATTATTGCAATTTTGATGAGTACCTTTAAATAATTAAAAGAAATTAGATCAGGGACTATACAGTCCAGTTTTGCTTCTGCCACAAATGTCCTACTCTGTCTCCCAGGCTCCTTTGCAGCTAAGACTGGTCATACGGCACAGTTCAAGACAGACACACGTTGATGGATGCTAGGCAATGTCTGGGGAAAATTCATTTTTAATAAAAGGGGCAGGTATCGATGACGCCATTCCTTTACCTGGTCACCAGTCTTGAACAAAGGTGTGATACTGGGAGCTGTGGTGGATATCTGGCAATTGGCAAGGAAAGGAGGCAGACAGCTGGGCAGCCGGCCCTGCCATCAGTGGAGCGCTGAGCTCTTGCCCGCAGTCACTCAGCTCCTGACTCTAGTGATGCTGGAAAATGAAACCCTAGTATGTTTACGCTGCTCTTTCTTGAATCTCATCCCCATTTCACAGAAAAACATTGTTTTAATCTTTTCTAAACAAAAACAAGAGTGACTCAGAGAAGCTAATGTGCCCGAGGCCATGCCTTTGTTATGTGGTAAAGTGGCAAAGCTTAGTGAGAAATGCAAAGTTTGACTTTTACACAATCTAGTCAAGTATTCTAGATAGTAAGTTCGGCAACCTGGACACTATATATACATTTCGGCCAGTTGTAATGTTTTGTAGGTGATGGGCCTCAAAGGCACTCACTCATCTTACCCAATCTTGTTACCTTTGAATCTTTCATTTGTGATATTATTACATTTCACTTCTTTTTATCTTTACTACATTTCATTTCTTAATAATTTTTTGAATGATGTGACTAAGTAAGGAGTGTTAGAAATGTAGAAATGGATTTCTTTACTTTATGTATTGTTTGTTCTACTTAAAATAAAGGCAGAATAGAAACCCCACCCACTAATGGAAAACCATGATGTTTGTTCTGGAAACTTCCATTCAAAATGGCAGAAACCAATGTCTTAAAACAAAGAGTGGATGCACCTCCTGTAGATAAGGCCCAGCTATACAAATTGCTGTGCACTGATTTGGCTACTGCCAAAAGGTTGGTTTTCCCTCTTGAAAATACCGCCCCAAATTCCAGCTGTCTGAAAAACAATTAACCTGTCAAGTTTAAGGCTTTTCGTTCATAATTTGGACTACATCCTGCCATTGATATTTATTTTAATCTCCTATTGATTTCTGTGGGAATTCTTCATGTAGAATGAAGGCAGGATATAGCCCTAAAGGAATTTCTGTGAGAAGGTTCTCACTTTCATCTCTTTGTGTTTGATATTTATTACTTTTAGGTTATGACGTTGTATATCTAAATATAGCTCTACAGGCTAACGCTGTGATAAAGTCTTCTAATTTTTGCCTTCAAGCTGGAAGGTCAATGAGAACGCTAAAGTCCCACAGGGAAGACTATATTATAAATAATTTTTAGCCCCATGTTTTTGGTCTCTTTTCTAAAAAGAGGAAAAGCATTTGTAATACTGAAAAAAATGTCTTTTTTTATTTAGTATTTCCCCAAATGCCTATCTACCAAGAGATTCATTTAAAAAATGCCCATTCAAATCATCTTTAAAATATTTTTAAGGCTATCTATCTAATATAATACAGTCATCTAAAATTATAGTTATGTCAACTGTGGAATTCTGGATCTTGGAAAATTCTTTGAAAGGATATTAGGCTTTAAAGAGGCAAAATAGGAAATCATATATACAAATAGCTACTGGGGAAGAAAAGTCCTGGCTCCATTATTAGAAACTGTGTATGAATCGCATCACTGTATGTAGCTACCTGAATTAGTTGTAAACATTGTGTGGCAAAAATGGAACTCAGTCTCTGGGATCTATTTTATTAGTAATAAGAGAGTCAATTTGAGGTGTGCAGTTAGCTGACAGTTTTTCAGCCAAGGTGACACTCTTTTCAGGATGGTCTCAGGTGATGCCTGAACAAGGCTGAGGTACAAAAGGCCTCACCGTTTCTTCCCAACTCAGAACCTCTCCACACATAGACCTCGCCCTGGAGCTCCTCACTGGTCCAGTAGAGATTTCATCAGAGCTGTATCATGGCCTGGTAGCTTCTGCACAATCCCGCTTCCTCATTTTCTCTTCATAAAAACCTTTTTTGGTTTTATCTCTGGCCCAGTATCTGCTTCCCAGAGAACCCAAGTGACACCAAGAGTCACCCAAGAAAGCAGGCAGTGAAGATGCAGTTTCAGGACTGGACCACTGACCACCCATCTGGTAATGAGGCCACCAGCACACATGGTATGTAAGTCATGACTAGTTCCTGACGCAAGGAGCCCAATTGCTAAACATTCTCTGGTGGCAACTAGGGAGACTATTCTTACAGAAGGAAATGCCCTGACTGTTGCACCTAACCAGTGTTGGAAACAAAGCCTAGAAGGACAGTAGAACTGCCTTGTTATTGAGTCACAGCAATGCCTTTCCTAATAAAAATTTACTGGCATTTAACAAATAATTGAAACCTAAGTGTTAAAACCAGAGTGCCTCTATGGTAGCCTAAAAAAGTCCTTCTCCTCTCTTGGGAAAGCAGAAAAAGCTTAAGTTCACAGAAAGCTTGGGCAGTAAGTATGAAATTATCATGTACTCCCTGTCCCCCCTACATCCTCCTCCCAATCATGGCCCCCCATTAGAGTGGGAGCCTATAGGGTGCAGGTAATAAAGGGAGGTCTGGTAAAATCCAGCTTGCAGTGGGACTTCTCAGTCTGTAGACTCACATGATGGTCTTTTCCAAAGTTCTCAAATGTGTAATTATGATTGACTTACTTGAAAATTCAAGCAACCTCAAAATTGGGTTCTAGGCCTACATGATAATTGTCCTCACCCAAGTCAATAGATTAAATACAAAATGTCATATGTCAGAAAAAATGTCAGAGATTAATGGTCCCCTTAAAGATCTAAATAATGTGGTTTTGATTTGCATTTCCATGATGATTAAAGATGTTGAGTATTTTTTCATATGTTTATTGGCGATTAGTCTATCTTCTTTTGAAAAGTTTCTGTTCATGTCTTTTGCCCATTTTTTAATGGGATTGTTTGTTTTTTTCTTGCTGATTTGTTTGAGTTCTTTGTAGATTCTGGTTATTAGCCTTTTACTGGATGTGTAGCATGCGAATATTTTCTCCCATTCTGTAGGTTGTTTATTTGCTCTATTGAGTGTTTTCTTGGTTGTGCAGAAGCTTTTTAATTTGATCAGGTCCCATTTATTTATTTTTGGGGCCTTTTCATGAATTCTTTGCCTAGATCAATGTCTATAGGAGTTTTTCCGATGTTTTCTTCTAGAATTGTTATAGTTTCATGCCTTAGGTTTAAGTCTGTTATCCATTGTGAATTAATTTTTGTGAGTGGTGACAGGTGAAGACACTGTTTCAGTCTTCTACATGTGGCTAACTAATTTTCCCAGCACCATTTATTGAATAGGGATTCTTTTCCCTGCTGTATGTTTTTGTCTGCTTTGTCAAAGATCAGAGATGACAATATGAGGATGGTTTTATATCTGGGTTCTTTGTTCTGATGCATTAGTCTAGATTTCTGTTCTTGTGCTGGTACCATACTGTTTTGGTATATCCATGATGAGATATTACCTAACTCCAGTGAGAATGGGTTTTATCAAAAAGTCCCCAAACAACAGCTGCTCGCATGGATGTGGACAGAAAGGAACACTGTTGGTGGGACTGCAAACTAATAAAACCTCTATGGAAAATAGTATGGTAATACCTCAAAGAACTAAAAGTAGACCTGCCATTTGATCCAGCAATCCCACTATTGGGTATTTACTCAAAGAGGGGAAAAAGCACTTTCACTCAAATGTTTATAGAAGCACAATTCACAATTGCAAAGATGTGGACAACCCAAGTGTCCATCAATACATGAGTGGATTAATAAAATATGGTGTAAGTATACCATGGAGTATTACTCAGTCATAAAAAAATTGGTGAACTAATACCTTTTGTAACAACCTGGATGGAACTTGAGACCATCCTTTTAAGTGAAGTATCACAAGAATGGAAGAACAAAAGCCACATGTACTCACTACTAAATTGAAACTTATATTAATAGATCAATGCTCATTGTGCATATATGGTAGAAAAATTCAACAGAATCAAGCAGGTGGGAGTGAGGATGGGGATGGGTAAATTCACACCTAACAGGTACAATGTACGCTATCTAGGTGATAAATACATTTACAACTTTGATTCAAACTGTAGAAAATCAATCATGTAACCAAAATGTTTGTACCCCCATAATATTCTGAAATAAAAAATAAATAAAAACAAAAATTACCGTAAAAAAATCTAAATAATGGAGGGGTAGGGGCATATATTGTAGCTCCGTTGTGTTTGTCAGTCTGGCTCCTGTAGGAAGTGACTGGATCCTGCAGGGTAATTACAAAGAACTCCAAGCAGTAGGCGTATCAGCTGCCATGTGAAGGCAAATACATCAGTTTGGTGCAGGTACATGGCATTGCAGCCAATGATTTATCTAATACATACTTTCCCAATCAACAAAGACAATCAGAAACCATTGGCCTTCACTTGGAAAGGAAATCAATATACACTCATAGTTTGCCCCAGGGCTTTCTTGACTATCTCACTCTGTTATTATATAGTCTGAAGAGATCTGGACTGTCTGGACATTCCACAAAACATCATATTGATCCATTTTACCAATGACATCATGGCAGGATGGGCAGTAAGGCCTTGTTAAGACATTTGTGCTCCGGAAGACAGGAGATAAATTCTGTGTAGATCCAGAGACCTGCCACTTCAGTAAAGGTTTTAGGGCTCCAGTGGTCAAGGAAGTGCTGGGACATTTCCTTCGTAGTAAAAGGCAAATTGCTCATCTTGAATTCCCTACCGCGACAAGGAAAACACAATTCCTGGTAGGTCTCTTATGGTTCTGGGGGAAACACCATGCCATGCCTAGGAATACTGCTCTGCCCTATCCATGGAGTGAATGCAGCTGAGATCAGAAAGATGTTCTGCAAGCATTGGAATAAACAACTGAAACACCAGCCAAGAGCTGCACTCCTGAGGATGGCATCCCATCTTCCAGGGTACATTATATACCCTGTATTAGAAAAGTTTATATCATGCTGTGGTCCCTAAAATGAAGGATACATCTGTTTGGTGCAGTAGAAGCAGGTGTGATTCATCATCATTCTTAATGATCCCTTAGGGGACTTTGTGTTTCCTGTCCCTGCAACTCTGGGCTCTGCAGGGTTACAGGTCCTATTCTTCAAAGGATAGGTTCTATTCTTCTAAAGAGAACAATAACCCTGGCATAAGCCCTTCCTATGTGCCAGACACTATTATAAGTGCTCTACATGTGCTAACACATTTAATCCCCTAAAAACATTGTGAAATATTTATTATCATTAACCTCTGGTTAACATGGAAACCAAAACACAGAATGGAAACTTACCCAAATTCACATTTGTAGTAAGTATAAAACTCAACCTCTATAAATACCAAAATTTATAACATAGTGAGTCAGATAATGTTCAGTTGATATTGGACAACTAAGATTTCATGGTCATGTGAGAGCTTTCAGTCATATGTTCACTGTGTGCTAGGGCCAAGTGGCAAGTCAAAAGCTACTTATTTATAGAAGGCATGATTTTCCTACACAATCACCAGGGCCTCCTCCATTTCTCTCAGCACAGCATCCATAGGACCCACCAAGCCATAAAGGCCATATCTAAAAGTTGCTGGCATTACAGCCTGCACCAGTTGGAGGACACTTTTTTCCACTGGGTCAAACTGGCAGTTGTTTAGGGCATGCTGTATATGAGTTAGTGCAACTCACAGATATGTGATTTCTATTTCTTTCAAAACCAAGGAGGCCATTTTTTTCATTTTGGAAGGGATATAGATATCTTAGACTATAGCACCCTCATAAGCCTTGTGGAAGTACAGGTTCCTGTACTTTTGAGGCATTTATTTTCTAGACCATGGCACTGATGTGTTATTACCAAGGTCATTGGAACTCTGTTATGTTTTCTATCTACATGATGTCACTAGTGTAGTGGCCCATGTGATGTCCTGAACATTCATGAAATAGTTATTTGTCCCAAGTTAATGGCATAGGACACAGAACTGGAGAGTTGATATAACCTGGTGGCAAGAGACTGAAGTTGTACTACTGTCTTCATCACATGAAAAACAAACTTCATATGCTATTTCCTGCTTTTGGGGATAGAGAAAAAAGCATTTGTCAAATCAATGGATGCTTACCCAGGGCCATATGGACTTCTTCCAATGAAGTGACCACATCTTTTACAATATTGGCTGTGAATTTCTACCAGACCTGAAAATAAGAACTGGCACCTGTTCTAACTGAAACTGTTCTGCAATATCAAGGAGAGATCCTCTCTAACTCATTCATTGAAGCCAGTATCACCTTGATACCAAAGGTAGGAAAGGATACAACAAAAAAGAAAACTACAGACTATTATCCTTTATGAACATAGATGCAAAAATCCTCAAGAAAGTACTGACAAACCAAATTCAACAGCACATCAAAAATATAATTCACCATGATCAAGTTGGTTTTATCTCAGGGATGTAAGGATGGTTCAATACATGCAAAGCAATAAATGTGATTCACCACATAAACAGAAGTAAAAACAAAGACTATATTATCATCTCCATAGATGCATAAAAGGCATTCAGTAACATCCAACATCCCTTCATGATAAAAACCTTCAACAAACTAGGCATGGAAGAAACATACTTAAAAATTTAAAAAGCGATATATGACAAACCCACAACCAACATCATACTGAATGGGGAAAAGTTGAAAGCATTCCCCCTAAGAACTGGAACAAGACAAGGATGTCCACTGTCACCACTTCTATTCAACATAGTCCTAACCAGAGCAATAAGGCAAGTCCTAACCAGAGCAATAAGGCAAGAGAATGAAATAAAGAGCATCTAAATTAGGAGGATGTCAAACTATCCCTGTTTGCTGATGATACGATCTTCCATCTAGAAAATCCTAAAGACTCCACCAAGAGACTCCTACAATTGATGAATAAATTCAGCAAAGTCTGAGGTTGGTTACAAAATCAATGCACACAAAACATTAACATTTTTATATATAAATAACACCAAACTGAGAGTCAAATCAAGAAACTCAATACCACATACAATAGCTGCAAAGAAAATAAAATACCTCAGAATATTCTTAACCAAGGAGGTGAAAGATCTCTACAAGGAGA